ATAATAATAATAATAATAATAATAATAATAATAATAATAATAATAATAATAATAATAATAATAATAATAATAATAATAATAATAATAATAATAATAATAATAATAATAATAATAATAATAATAATAATAATAATAATAATAATAATAATAATAATAATAATAATAATAATAATAATAATAATAATAATAATAATAATAATAATAATAATAATAATAATAATAATAATAATAATAATAATAATAATAATAATAATAATAATAATAATAATAATAATAAATGATAATAAACAGTAATAATAAATAATAATGATAATAAAGCTCAAAAATTCAGTTTCCAATAATTTTATTCGTAATGATAGTGCATTCATGCATAAAACTTATCGGTTATTATTGTAAGTGAAGTTTTATGTAAATTTTGAAGTTTTTTGCATGTTATTACTCTTTTTTTTTCAACGTATAATTTATATGTCAAGATTTTTTGATATTCATAGTTAATTACTATAAATTGGGATAATACATTATAGAATTATATAGTATATTACAATTTTAATTTCGTATTTTGCAATTTTTTCCATTATCTTGTAGTTTTTTTTCTTTGTTTATTTTTATTTTACCTAACGATCAATAATTTTATAAAATTAATAGTTGTACAAAAAAGAATTGTTCGGAAAACGAAGTATTAATTAATGGAACATGTCTATCTCGAGTAATTCCCGGACAGCAATGCGTGGAATCAGCGCAGTGTTTAGATGGATCACAGTGCTCTTCTACGATACACATCTGTATTTGTCCGGAAGGAATGAATAATATTGGTGGATATTGCCGAAAACTATCTTACACTGATCCATGTGATTCTGCTTCTATGGTCTGTATTGTTTTTAGGAGATTTAAATATTAATCGATAATTCAAGCAAGCAATAGATGAATACGATAGACAGTTAATTGTGTAATGTTTTCAAATTTCTCTTTAAATGGTTCAAACCTTGTGAAGAAAGAAAAAACCTCCCATAAAGCACATTAAACTTTGATAATTGAATTTAATTAAATTAAGCATAATTGGCGGAAAATTCATTTACACTCATTCTCCATAAATTGTCTAACGGAAGAAATAACTCTTTTAAAGTGGTATATGTTTTTTAAAATTTTTCAAAAAATATAAACTATATGAAATAAATGACAACAGCAATAATTCAAGGTGTACGCTAATGGTAGTTGCGTACAGATCACAAAACCAGGCGATGAGTGCATTCATGATTTGCAATGCCTCGGTGGATCTATTTGTACAGATAGTTACTGTAAATGCCCTCAGTCTACTGCATATTGTGACGGATACTGTATTGGGTCTGTATTGTGCAATCTAAACGAAGTAATTCTTTTTCTTTTCTCTCGTGAAATGTTTCCCATTCAAATTATAAAAATTTTTTCTTTTAAATTTCAAAAATAATATTTTATTTACAAATGAATACCTTAACATATTAATGAAATGTAATTATTTGAGTGAATTTTAAGGTGATAAGTAAACTTGATAATGATTTTAAATTAACAGATATTTCTGAATAATCGATGTTTCAAACGGGTTATACTAAATGAAACATGTTTCATAAGTCAGCAGTGTCCCAATAACGCTATTTGTGATTATGCTGCACGATGTACTTGTCTGACAGGAATGGCGGTAAGTTTGATGGAGTTATTATTGTCATTTTCCTTATGAACGATATGGATGCCCTTGTCTTTAATTAAATTTATTGCCCTAAAAAAATATTGGGTTATTCTAAAATTTTTCTTTTTAGATGATTTGAAAATTTTTTTTACTAATTAAAATTTGATTTATCAATTTTTCTACTTATTAGAATTCAATTTCCCTTTCTCAACAATTTTCACAATTTCAATAATAAGAAATGAGAAAAATTATCGTTAACATTTGAAAAGGTAGTGAACGGCCAATGTCAACCTTCTCCGATCAATTATTGCGATGATATCGAAGTTATGGTTGGTTATCATTTGAATCTAACTTACTATTAATTTTTGTACCGGCAAATTTTTGAATGGTATTAAAATGATGAATTATTAAACGAACAAATTTTTTAAAAATTTAGGAAAAATGAAAATTTGTGGTTACATTTGTATTGTATTCCTTTTTTTTTTTTTGTAACATTCAGTGGTATAACTCATAAA